AAGCAATTAAAATGAACAAGGGACAACATTAGTGGGACAGGAGGGGGAGCCTTATCCCTTAAATGATGTGTAATACTGAGCAAATATTCACTAATTAATCAGCACAACATCCCTGTGAGGTAGGTAAATAAATATCCTACCTCTTTCTGCCAGTTTTAGGAAGTAATGCATTTTTCCAGTTATGTCTCCAGAGTGATTATATAAAATGCATGAATCAACTGTTGCTGATAATTGGATGCACACAAAACCAAGGTAGTGAAATATTAAGTACAGGCAAGTGGAATTCATTAGAAGGTTTCCAGTGCTGTAGAGGTCTGCAACAACAGACATTGGGTGCTTCTAAATGGATGTTATTGTGTGGTTGGTGCTCCTCATTAAGCACTTTTTTCCTCCCCCCCCTTTTTCTTTTTTGCAACGTCTACATAATGTTCTTGGTAATTACAGCTCATAAATTTTCCTCATCTAATCTAGACTTTTCCTTTCCAGCAAAAAATCCAGTAAGTCTACCCCCTTGTCCCAGACACCCAATTTCCCCTGTGGAAGCACCATATGATTTGTATCCAACATAGTGCTCAATAACCATCCCAGAATTTCAGAAGAAGACCTGAAAGAGAAGTAGCTGAATTACAACTTACCACTAAACTGAAAACTATGGAGAGACCTGGTCTTAACAGAGATATTCAATTCCTGTCTCATTACATATGCTAATCATCTGCATACTATCCCTTGCTTTTTTCTGTAGGACTAATTGCAGTCTAATTGCAGGGACGCGGGTAGCGCTGTGGGTAAAACCACAGTGCCTAGGACTTGCCGATCGCATGGTCGGCGGTTCGAATCCCCGCGGTGGGGTGAGCTCCCGTCTTTCGGTCCCAGCTCCTGCTCACCTAGCAGTTCGAAAGCACCCCTAAGTGCAAGTAGATAAATAGGTACCGCTTTATAGCGGGAAGGTAAACGGCGTTTCTGAGTGCTGCGCTGGTGCTGGCTCGCCAGAGCAGCTTCGTCACGCTGGCCACGTGACCCGGAAGTGTCTCCGGACAGCGCTGGCCCCCGGCCTCTTAAGTGAGATGGGCGCACAACCCTAGAGTCGGACACGACTGGCCCGTATGGGCAGGGGTACCTTTACCTTTATCTTTACCTTAATTGCCGTCGTTAACAGTCGTCAACAGGTTTACCATGCCCAATGAGTCAATCACCCATCTCCTACTACCTTCCTGAGAAAAACCCCACCCCACCCTCCCATATATAAGGGTCTGGTGACTTCTGTTTCAGTGTATCTGAAGAAGTGTGCATGCACACGAAAGCTTATACCAAGAACAAACTTAGTTGTTGTCTAAGGTTCCTACTGGACAATTTTTTCATCCCATAAGTGCAAGGTTTCCCCTTTGCACAAGGGGACTTTTGCCCACTCTCCATCAGTCCTCCACCCCAAAGTATATTCTGTAGGTTCCCCCAACCCCCCGGAGCAGATTTGTGGAGTGTAGGAGAGGAGAGGGGTAACAGCCACACTGCACAAGCAGAAATCCTTGTGTTGACAGGATGAGAAAGTTGGATGCCATCCTATATGTTTGGCCTGTTCAATCTTTCTTTTTTCATTTCTTTTATTTAAAAGCATTTCTAAGTATCTTTAAAAAATCTCCAAGCAACAAAAAAATAAAATAAAGCAATATCACCGATACGAAAATAACAACAGTAGTGTAACAGCATAAAAAAACAGAAAATCTGGGAATTAAAACAAATAAAGACAAGAGACTGCTATTCTGGTTCAGGTTAAGTCTAGACAAATCTATGTCTTAGCAAGATGTCTAAAACAACTGATAGAGGATGCTTTACATATGCCAGAGAGATGGGCATCCCATAGTATTCTTTATCTCCAGACCAGACTTGGGCCAGACAACCCGTCTAACAGAGACCTGTCCTCCATAAAACAGGACACAAGGCCACACTAGATAAGACAAGCAATGTGCCTAACAGCATATACATGTTTTCAAACACATATTTATCTTGGGGATAGAAGTGGGGAGCCAGTAACTTACAAATCACCCCAGAGTTGTGCACTGGTTTCATGCAACTCCCATTCATATCATCGGAGCTACAAGGACTCCTTGGCAGCAGCTCTAAATGCAGGGGAGTTGATTTCCAGTGGCTGCCCTGGAATGTTCCCCAGGAGTTGCACATGCAGAGCATTTTGAGGGCTGCAGTTAAGATATTATACAGTCGGTTAACAGCAGGGGTAGGGTAATATAATTAAAGCAAACTTTCATTAAAGCTTCAATTTTAACAGCAGGGGAGGGGCAGTGGGAGATATTGTAATAGACGGTATTATTCATTGTAATCAATTAGTACAGTAAACTTATGAAAAAGAGGCTGTTGGAGGGAGGGAAGAGAAGAAGAGAGACCCAGTTTCACTTCATGCATATGTCCATGTTAAGTTCTTATCAGTATTATAAGCAAGGACGGGGTAACTGGCAGTTTCAGTTTCTCTCTGTTTCTTATTTTTCCAATCTTAAGTTCAGTTCTCCACATTTCCAGATCAGTATTATTATTAAAAAATTGTCCGGTAAAACCTTAGAAACCAAGCAAGTTTGTTCTGGGTATAAGCTTTCGTGTGCATGCACACTTCTTCAGATACATGCATTTGTGCATGCACACGAAAGCTAATACCCAGAACAAACTTAGTTGGTCTCTAAGGTGCTCCTGGACTTTATTATTATTATTTTATTTATTTCGACTGTGTCAGACCAACACAGCTACCTACCTGAATCTAGTATTGTTATTGTTGTTGTTATTGTTGTTTAAAGCCCTTATGAAAATTGATCAGCATTCTAGAGTGAATTTCTCCTAAAATGCACAATGTATGTTGTTTTTCCCACTATATACATTTCTGCAAGCCATTTCCCCTCATATATGTGTTTTTTTACATTATTTACACTAACACATGCATTTAAATGCATACTTTACACTAGAATGTGCATTTTTTTGTTGGAGCACCATAATGCAAAATTCAGAGAAGCGCGAACTTTGAAGGATGGCTGTGTTTCCCACCCCACCCCTAACTATAATGTCTGTTGGCACCTCTCTGAAGCAGGGCATACCATGGTAATGCAAATGAAGAGATGGGCAGGAAGATGTGGATCCAAATTCAACTAAGGTTTACTCAGAGTAGGCCCAATGGAATTAATGAACATGACTAAGTTAGGTCCATTAATTTCAGTGGGTCTACTCTAAGCAAAGCTTAGTTAAATACCACCCAAAGTGTCAGGGCAATTCCAAACACAAAGATTCCCGCAGCAGTGATGTAGCGAGAAAGGTTTCTGCTAATGCACCAGAAGTCTGGAAGCATAAAACACAGGATCTTGAAACAGGGTGGAAACCACATTGGGAGAAAGAGGACACCTGTGACCTAAGCTACTTATGAAGCAAGCATCCTATATATGAAGTGAACCAGGATCTACTTCTAAACACGCAGATTGTAGTGTGCATTACCTGACAATGTTCTCTCAGCCCCAGAACTTCCAAGTAAACAGACCCCAACACTAGCCTTGGACCAGACCCATGGTTTTCAGTAACCAACACAGACATAGGCTGGCTGAGAGATGGTGTTGGGTGTTCTGTGACTCATCTTTATTCTCCCCGTTAAATCAGTCTCCTAGGAACCCCATCCACAGAAGTTCCAGCCAAGATCCACTTTTTGACAACAGAGCAGATTCTGAGTATAATAAGACCCACAGGGGTTTCAGTAATTGATATCTCAATCAAATGTATGATTATGCCAAAATAATTCCCTTGTTCTTTGATTGGTTGATTAGTCGACATATTTTACCTTTCCTCCATCCAAACTTAGTTAGTTACGACCTTGAAAGTCAGGTTTGTGCCCTTCCAAATTTCAGTAGGCAAAGCTCATCTACACATACACACAGCACAGTAGTGTTCATTCCATTTTTGAACAGGAATTTATAATTGTTCTGAATACAAAGCAGGCTAAGTCATCTGCAGCATTATGCTATATGAAAACGTTAGCAAAAGGGATCCTATATTCAATCCCTACCTCCATGACTCTACTTTGCATACACCTTCAGGGTTTGTTTGCCTGGCTGGAATGTGTTATGCAGTTCTGACAATCTCTCTTGGTTGCATAGTTAAGCTATGGAACTCATAGCAGTGGGTTGCTTTAAAACAGGATTCTACAAATGCACAGAGGATAAATATAACATTGGCTCCCAGCCATGATGGCTGTGCTCTGGCAGTATCCTTCTGAATATCAGTTGCTGGAAACCGCAGGAGGCAACAGTTTTCTTGGACTTGGGTCCTGCTTATGGGATTCCTACAGGCATCTGGTTGGCCACAGTGAGAACAGGATGCTGGACAAGATGGGCCATTGAGATCTTCTTATATTCTTAGGTTGCCTGGATGGAAGATAGAGAGCTATGTGAGTGTGTGTAAAATAAGCCTGTTTTACAAAGGGGAAATTTACATTTGTTGCTCTGCCCACTTTTGCTTCTGGCCCTGCCCATCACTGGCATGTGATCTCTGAAAATTTGCCCAGAAGGGAATGCAAATCTTGATCTGGAAAAGTTCCCGAGGAAGGTACTAAGATAGAGCTTGGCACCAAAGGATCTGTATTAAGCAAACAGAGCCCCAGCCCAATCCCAATCCTCGGTTTATGAGATTTACATAATTCCAGGCGTTCGTACTTCCTGTCTTAAAACACCCCTTTTCTGTTCCTTCCCAAATTCCCGATTCTTCCAGACCTGTTGCTTCTAAAACGGTTTGAATCTTTCATTTGTGCTGTGTTGTAATAACCGAAAGAATAAGAGGTTTTTCAGGTAGGGACTTTAGGAGAGCAAAATATTTGGAGAGAATTCCCTCACATACAAGCAGTAAAGTAAAATTTTTAAAAATCTATTAGACAAATAAGGAGCCCGAATCTCTAATTATGATATCTAAAACAGACCATCACAGTATGTATATATATATATATATATATATATATATATATATACACACCCACCCACCCCGATATATATATATATATATATATATATATATATATATATATATATATATATGTAAAGGGACCTCTGACCATTAGGTTCAGTCGTGACCGACTCTGGGGTTGCGGCGCTCACCTTGCTTTATTGGCCGAGGGAGCCGGCGTACAGCTTCGAGGTCATGTGGCCAGCATGACTAAGCTGCTTCTGGTGAACCAGAGCAGCGCATGGAAACACTGTTTACCTTCTCGCGGGAGTGGTACCTATTTATCTACTTGCACTTTGACTTGCTTTCGAACTGCTAGGTTGGCAGGAGCAGGGACCGAGCAAAGAGAGCTCACCCCGTCGCGGGGATTTTAACCGCTGACCTTCTTATCTGCAAGTCCTAGGCTCTGTGGTTTAACCCACAGCGCCACCCGTGTGATTAACTCACTAGGTTTGATGTGCAAGACAAAATTGCTGGACCTGCTACAGATGGTAAAATGAAGGTTTTATACAATGCATTTAGCAATGTGGCAGGGAGACATTTGTGGTTCTGTACTTCTGTCAGCCTTACCCTCCTCAAACACCTCTGCTAACCAATATACGTTTCTCTTGCAAACGTTTAATGAATGCATGGTGGTGTACAGGCTCTTTCTATTTGATTATGTGCTTTCTTTATGAATGAGGAGCTGAAGATCCATGCTTGCTGTAAGCAGTATCCATCTGAAGCCTATTTTCTTAAAACATGGGCAAACCTCACTTATGAAAGGTTCTGTGCGTCACATTTTACTGCAGTGATATCACATGGCTCATGGATGCCTTCACAAGAACATAAGCAAAACAATGTTTTGTAGATGTGTGTGGATTATTTATGAGGCCATATATTGCTTTTATTGTTCACATACATTTTAAGAACAGAAACAGACAGTACTGTACTGGTTATCCCCCAGGAGAACTACATCCAGTGAAATCAGGTGGGGATAAGCCAAAATTATTTTTGGCTCGGATGCCTGAAGCTGCTATACTCTCTGTCGAGGTCTGGAGTATATAAAAAATTCCTGACAGAAGTCGTATAATACCTGCACAGTGAAAGATCCCATACTTCTATGTCTTAGTAATTTTACATCTCTTTCCCGGGCCCATTGTGTTGGATCCAAGGTGCCCTTCCATTCATAGAAACATATTCTGTGGAATATGGAAGGCCAATGATCCATCAGAGACTCCTGGTGAGGGCAGACAAGGCCCTCGCTTGGGGCTTTCCCTGCTGCTTTCCCTGCTACTCTGCAGCCTCCTATATCACCTCCTGCCAGTGGTGTAGTGGGGCGGGGCACAGGGACAGTTGCCCCAGGCACAAAATTCTTAGGGGCACAAAATTTCAATACCCAGTGCTGCCTCAATACAGCTGCATGCTCCTGTTGTTGGACTCCATTTAAAATGTCTTCTCCATGCAAACCAGGAAGTGACTTTTCCAGACAACAGTATGACTCTTCTTATCTTATCTCTGTGACTGCGATCTTCTGGCTGACACGGATGCTGTTAGGCAGTTGAATGAACATGCGTATTCTGTTTCTTTCCCTTCCACCTGCCCCCGTCTTGTCCCGGGCACTGGCAACCTACACTACGCCACTGCCTCCTGTTCCTTCCCTAAATTGTTCAGAAATGTATTTTGAGGGAGAGAAGGGGGGATGCAGAAAAGAGGATGAATCAGAAAGAACTTCTCTCTCTTCCACTAGCAGGCACTGGTTACGACTCAACCCATTGAAAACGTTACTTACTCTGCATTGAGGACACTGAAAAATCCTACTGCATGGCTCTATTCAGTGAACTATTCAATATACATGTATTCAGCCTACCAGGAGAGTTAGTCTAATGGAATGGAACTTTTGAATGGCTCCTCGGTGTGAATAACACAGATGTTAAAGAGTGCTGAGGGCTTTTGCTACACTTCATGTTAAAGTGGCCTACACATTATAGTTGAATACATGTACTTGCTGTTAAATAGATATGCCCCTCTTCTTTAGAAATGCTTCCAGTAGTTTTTACATCCTGTTTTTAGATCCTGAAAAAGATAGTTTAAGATAGTAGTAGTTTCAGATACTGAAAAGGTAAGATGAAAAGCAGACAATGTACTTTAACAGGAATCCCAGCATGAAATGGGTGGGGGTCACGATTGACTGCATAATGAATTGCCTCAATTTAATTGGACAACATGTGCCTCTACCAGTCATGTCTTGATACTCAGCCCGCTAGTGTGGCGCAGAATCAATTCCCTTCCCATCACACTGCAAAAAGTTCCATTCCATATACTCAGCTTAATTGGTGACATTTCTAGCTTAATGTCATAATGTTCTCTGTGCTAAAGTGATTTATAAAATTGGCTGTCAGAACTCAGATTGTGACCAGCAGCATTGTAGTTTCCAGCACAATCTCCAAAACTGAAAATAATCTTTGTCGTACACACACACACACACACACACACACACACGTACAAGTAGTGATGAGCAGAGAGAAATATATTCCTGCATTGGTGTGTTTGCCTTTGGGTAGAGCTGACTGAAAATTGCATGCTACCGTATTTTTCGCTCTATAACACGCACCTAACCATAACACACACGTAGTTTTTAGAGGAGGAAAACAAGAAAAAAAATATTCTGAATCAAATGTTGTACTAAACTATTTAATAAACAACCGGTATATCAGAATCATATTACAACCATGTAAAGTGAACAGCAGTCAACAGTGGCATTAAGAACCATCATCACTGTCATTAACAAATGAAGAGAGAATTTTAGGTTCGAGTACTCTTCTAGTCTTCTGTGAACCCCAAGAACTCATCACTGCTAGAGTCAGAATTTATGAAGTTCAGTTGCTCACAATCCTATAGGCCTAGGTGCCTTCACCCCCCCATTACCGGTAAATATTTGAGGGAGTCATCCTCCCCCCATGCTGATGGGCATTTCCATTCATATAAGGTACCAGTGTGCATGCACTTTGTCTTGAGATCCATTGCAGTCTGTGAGATGGGGCTTACCTGTACCTGCCCCCCCCCTAATATTTTATTGAAATTGGAAGAGGGAGGGAGGGAAGGAGAGAAGAGAGATGGAGAGCTCACATTTGTCCTAGGCAAAGCAGCCAACTCCTATGGGCCTAGGTGCCTTCACCCCCCCATTAAATATTTGAGGGAGTCACCCCCCACCCCCCATTGTGGTATGTGAGGTGGGTCTTACCTGACTGCCCCCCAATATTTTTTGAAGTTGGAAGAGGGAGGGAGGGAGGGAAGGAAGAGAGAGGGGGAACTCACATTTGTGCAGCTGCCTTGCCTCGGAGCAAAAAGAGGAGGAGGAGACTCAGGGACACGAGCCTTGTAAGCCGCTTTGTTTGAATTTACCGGTGAGGTGCTGGGGGAGGGATGGAAGGGGATGCCCTCTTTGTCCCTCCTTCGGGCTCATTGTAAAGAAAGCAGAGTAAGAGCCGCTTACATTTGTGTAAGGGAGAGCCATAGAGCAGGCAGACACTGAGAAAGAGAGGCTGTCTCCCTTTCCCCACCTTGGCTTTTACACGCTGCGCGCAGCTCTTGCCGGCTTCCGAGCTGCCTCCCTTCTCCCACCTCGCTAAAAAGCCATAGAGCAGGCAGACAGGAGGAAGAGAGGCTGTCTCCTGACACTCAGCTGTTGCTCAGCTGTTTCTGGCTTCCCAGCGAGCCAAGCGGAGGAAGAGAGGCTGCCAAACAGCCAGCAAGAGCGGCTCCTCCTGCCTGCATTTGCTCCATAACGCGCACACACATTTCCCTTTACCTTTTAGGGGGGAAAAACTGAGTGTTATGGTGCGAAAAGTACGGTATACTGTTTGAATGTCCGGTCAACAGGCCCCTTGAATTTGTTAAGTAATGAGCCTGGGGCAAAATTGGTGCCTAGCTTTGCAGCATTACATAAAAGATGCTTCTTTCGTCAGGGCCTTTAGGCCACTGCAGTAATGATCATCCCCACCATAGACAAGAGACACAATCTACACTCCTGTCATGCAGCCTACTGAATGAATAGTCACTGAGAAAGAGTGCAGCCATTGAAGCAGGAGGTGGTTCAAGAAGATGGTGCCAACAGGCCATGCAGTTGAAATTACATTATCAGTTTAGGACTTTTCTTCACCGCCGCTGATATTTCCTCATCTACAGTCTTGAGTGAAAAAACAGTTATCCTGAAGTTCAGGTGTGAGGAATCTGAAGCTCTCCATCAGTCCCTGAAAGGCATGGTCAATGGGCAAGAGTGATGGGATTTGTAGGTGAAGAAAGTGTATTCTATCCAAGGTTGAGCGAGGCTGACTGATCAGCCTGCCATGTGGTTGAAAGCTTAGAAGAAGTGACTGCCTGGATGGCAGCAGGATTTGGGTGGCATTGAGGGTTTTCCGTATATGATTGGCTTGTTGCTGCTGCTGTTGCTATTGTTTGAAATATGATCAGGTTAATTTCTAATGCTGTGTTGTTCCTGGGAGCCACCTTGAATTCAAAAACGCCATATAAATACAACATCAAATTAAAAACAACAACACCCATTCAAAAGGCCCTATAGTCCAATTTATCCTTCTATTAATATATATTAATCAAAATATATTGCAGAGTTCACCACCATAAGGTTATTAGAAAGACAATATACTGAAGGTTGGGACAAAAAACCCCTACATTTTGAATGACGTATGATAATGAAATGATCAGATGTTGTCTTATTGAAAGTCCTTATCACCCACTCATTTCTTCATATTGTATCTGGAGCAGGATTAAAAGCCATTTGACTTCTTTTTGACTATCTTCATAATTAGTATCTGCTCCTCCAGTTTATTATTGGGCTGTGAAATTCTCCATTGACTTCAATTTTGCAGAGTAGTAGGGTTTTCTTTTACTGTTATGATTAATTAAGAAGGTGAGGGTGATTCTAAGGTTCCAGGGCTTTTTTTCAAGCCGGAACTATGCTTGATTGAGGGTTGGTTTCCATACCTGTATCTCTTGTGAGACTTATTGTTCGATGGGCTTCCTGTTCTTATTGATGAGAAGATGGCTGAGAAGAAGCTTCTGCATGATGGGAATTTGAAAGGGCCAGGCCACCATGTTGTAGA